TTCAATAAGTCTTTAAATATATCTGGGTTTTCTTTACGACATCCGACTAACATGAGTACTGATACTATACACCGAATTTGATGCCAAAGAAATGCCTTACCAACAATGGTAAGTTCACACATGTCATAATCTCTATTTGTTGAAAATTGATTATTTTCAGAGCATATTTTAATATCAGCACTTGTGATCCTTCTGTAAAATTGTACAACACCATTTGCAACATCCATTTTACACAAGTTGCGAAAATCATGTGTTCCGACTACTTGTTGTATAGCTTGATTCATCAACTATAAATAAAATGTGAAAAAAAATTATTTTTCAACTACCAAAATATTAAATGAAAATATTTATCAGCAAAAGTACAAACATCTACATCAAGATCACCTCGTGGAAACCAGTACTTATATGTTCTAGACCCACAATCAAACCGGGCACTGAAATTGTCTTGCACTGGACCCCAAGCCACTACCCTAATATCTTTTGGTAATAATCTATTGAGCATTTTACAATAGGGTAATTCTTCGCTGTCGTCGCCATTACTTCTTACAGTCAAAGAAATCACCTGCAAAATAAAATGGTTATATTACCAAACAAAAAATAGGGATTCCATAATAACAGTCATCTGGTACATTCTATTTATTAATATAATAGTATATCTRATGTAAATTTAATTTAGGCAATATATTATAATATTATAAATATATCTGTTTTTACCTGACTAAAAGAACTAACACCTTTATCAGTTCTTCCACAACGATGGTAATTTGAGGTTTGTCTACTTTCTATTAAACAACATGTGGTGAGTGCACGAAATAATTCATATTCAATAGTCTTTTCAGAAACATCTTGAGCAGCAAATCCATGATAATCCCATCCTAAATATAATAACTTAAAGACTACATGTCTTTTATGATACCTACAAACAAAAATATAAATTATTTAGAAGATGTATACATGMAATTTAATTTWAAAAAATTACATTCAACTGTCAACTCTTTTATATAAGTAAYAATTAAGTAGATGACAAAATAATTAATAGGTTATAGGATTATAAAATGTGAATAATTGTAACAATATTTCAATAAACAATCTCCATTAATATTCCTATCAAAAAAAAAAAGTAGAGACTTATCAAAACTACAATACCTAATWAAAATATTTTTGTAACATTTTTTACTAAATCAAAAATGTTCATATCTAGTTGGTAGTATAATTTTGTAGAAATATTAATTGTAGCACTTAAATGTATCMTAACTGATTAAAAGTATACCTACAACTACAACAAATACATTATATTATAATATGATCTCACTCACAGCATTTTTAACTAACAATATTTTCATTTACAATTGCTTCCAGACTTTCGTGCAGAAGAAGCAGATAGTACATTTTTAGGATAAATCATTTCTGGGATCTAGTCCACGAGCTATTAAAATATATCAAATTATAAGTCACAAATCTCGCTGGAGAGGCAGCTGTCAAACTTAACACCCCTAGTAGAAACGCCTATGTTTCAACACATTTTAATAGCTTAATTTCTAAACTTCTAAAACAACTTCAAAAGATGATTAAAAAAAATATTAATGATCAAAACTCTGTAAAATCAATTTACKTTATTACATTTATTGATAAGTAAAATATTATAGTGAATTGTATTTAACTAATCTCAACATAGGTACATATTGTGTATATGTGTACTTATATAATTTAATTAAGGTTTATTAGCCTTATACTATGTATGTTTAAACACAATACAAATTCTGATAATTAGGTATATGTTTGAAAAAAAAAAAATGTTTACATTACACTGTAAATGCTTAAAATTATAATTAACATAAAATATTTTATTACTTAGTGAAATCAATAGTTCTTTTGGGTTTTGTTATTTTTCTATCTGTCTTCTTACAGTTCTGCTTTTTGAGATCTAAAATTATACTAATGAGTTCCTGAAATTAAAATATATATATTGTAATGCACAATTTATTCACTCGTTTTCATTATTGTTTGACTGAAAAAATTTAAGTACCAAAAAAAAAAAATGTCAAGTAAATTACCTCTTTAGTTAAATGATTAAGATTTTCAAGATCATAATTATCAGAATCAACCTCGAGTGACATTTTGCATAACTTGACCTATGTTTAAGCTTTTAGACTATATGATAAAACAAATTTGACTAATTAATTTATTAAAATTAATTAATACCTACCAATACATTATCCAAACAGATTTTATTTCATTTTTTGAATTCATTGATTATGTCACTTAATCGGTAAAGATAACTCTCGTTGATAAGCCACTTCTAAATAAGTTGATAACCGCTATTCTACTAGTAGTATCATCACTGAACGTAGATTAGGTTAGGTTATTAGTTTATTACCGGCCACCGAACCATATGTAAAGGTCGGACMATGGCCCGACATATTTTGGAAATTTAGGATAGGGCTACCTCAAATTGACGAATTGACCACCTTCCTCTCCACGGTACATCATTATTGCCGATATTAAGATATTAAATATTTTTCGCCCTTCTAGATTTTTAGGACTTCGGCACCACTGGACTTAATTCTTATATAAATAATGCATTTATAACCCTCTACTTTCTAGTGTTGGCTATTTAGGATTGAGCTCGCCAACTATGCAGTAATTTTAGTTAAAACTAAGTTAAAATTTCTTAGTAACTATTATTTTTTCTTTTTGATATAGGTACCTAATCCAGCTGTATAATCCAACAAATTATTGTCTGACTTTTAACCAAAAAGCAATAACACAATAATAATAAAATGAATAATACGACTTAATAAACATTATAAATAAAATAATTATAAATTATCATTAAAAATATTAATACTTATTTTCATTAAAGTTACTTCCTTAGTAAGGTAGCAAAACATCTGGTATTAAATTTATTGTAAACATTGCAATAAGACAATCATTTTTTTACTGAATTTCTAAGAAATTTTTATCAAAACTTTACAATCAGGGCCGTAGTCAARCCAAATTTTCAGGTAGGACATTATATATAAAAACGATATAAATTTCTAATATTTTTAGAGGACAACGTCCACTCTTGCTCCCCTCGAAGCTACGGGCCTGTTTCTAATTGACCATTTCTCCCAATTTTTCAAATTTTATGTGCATTTTTATGAGAATATTATTAGAAATCTTATGTTCAATTTTAAAATCTAGCTATGAATCGAATATTTTTTAAGAATTTTGAACTCAAAATAATTTGTAAATGTTCATGATTTTGATAAAATATGTTATCATAAATGTAACTTCAGACTTCAGATGTTCAAAAACACTCAACTTTTTTTAATTTTCACCAACATCAGCTAATGAGGAACTCTGTTTTCAATTTTTAAGATTTTTAAATGGGCGAAAAAATATTTATTTGGTGAAACGTGAAAATTTTAAGTATCTATTACACGGATCTCTGAGTTGCACCAAAAAACAAAATCAATTTTGTCAAAAACCATTTTAGCATAACAGTGCCAATTTTTTCCTCATGTTTTAGTAGGCGATTTTGATGTCTCGAACGCATCAACTAGATCAATTTTTTCCACCAGAAAAGTTACTGAAGACTGAAGTAGTGAAATTGAAAATCAAAGCATTATTTTGACTTATTATTGTGCACGCATTAATAATAATAAAAAAAAAAATGACTCATAACAGTAAAATTAATACTACTAGTTACCTAGTGGCTAGTTACCTTCATTATAGAGCCTTTATATATGACATTATTATGATTTATGTTCATTATAATTCATAGCCCGTAAAATCTATGTATGTAACATATTTGATATTTTTCGCGGCCGATCGCAACCATAGACCCACGTAGTCATGTTGTTAGCACCATTGAATTTAAAAAAAAATTGTTAGCATAGACCTGCTGGAACATGACCTATAAGATATTGTACAAGGAATCATCACATGGCTGCCTGCAGACAAGTACAAAAAGTAAAAACGGATTAGGTATATAATTTTAAACGTAAGTAAATACGTTCTATATATAATGTTTTAATTTATCATTTTTGTTCATTTGTTTTTACCGCTGTCAGCGACTTTGATGATACACTAATTTACGAACAACTTCCAGGTTCCTAATGACTAATGAGGCTATATTCAAAAATATTATAATCGGTGACCCTTGTCCCTCGGCATAGTTATAGTGTGTGATGTCTATGGTTGTTATTTGTGTTATTTTACTACCATAGACATATAAAATGTTCCTATTATGAGAATGCAATATACAGTCGGCTATCTAGTTGTTTTATATGTCTGTGTTTACTACCTATTAACTTGATAATGGTAAAGAATGCAATACATTTTGAAGAAACTAGGTACTATACAACATAAAGAAAAAAATGTTTGAGGTTTATGTCATGCTATTGATTACATACATTATAGATAGTAAGTGAAAGCATATTATTA